CAGTTTCCAGGATTAACACAGACTTCTGCCAAAGCTTATAGGGATGTGAGAGGAGAGAGAGAAGAAGAAATTGATTTCCAACTTTTCATTTCTGAGAGGGCTTGGAAGGTGATAGATGAATAATAGTTAGAGTCTTGTGCTGTGCAAGAGAGAGAGCTCTATAGCTCAGATATGCCTTTGAAGTACTCACAGTATACCCACCTCTGTCCTCACAAGGGTGGGCCACGTGATTTAAGATTAAGATCTTAATCTAAATTCAGTTTCTTACTTACTGTTGTAAACATACAGGGCTGTGATCACTAAAAGAGGTGAATTTTTAATTTCAAATGTCAGAATATTTAACTAATTCATCCTGGTTGTTGTTTGCAAAAGCTGGAGTGCAAAGTGCAGGCACGACGCAGGGCTGCTGGGAGGTGGCTGGGTTCTCAGCATCGCCTTATCCTTCTCCAGCTGAGTTCTCTGTTTACAGTGCTGGTGTGATTCCAGGCTTGGGGGCTTATTGTGTAAAGCAGGAAATGTTACAGTGAGAAGGAAGCACGTCCTTTGGAGTTAATAGTCTGCATAACTCATCTGTCAGTGAGAATGACTATTAAAGCACTTCAGCACTACCGACATTCACCCTGGTTTGGTTCCCCTCTTTCTTTCATTGATGCTTTAATTGGTAATGACTGTGGTGATGATATGTTGTTCTCACTGAGAGTGGAAGGGAAGATCTTCTCAAATGTTATCTGTGATACACAACAGAGTCTCAGGAAGAGTCAGTGGAGGAGGAGAATGTGGCCCCTGAGCAGAAGGGCAGTGGAGCTCAGCCCGGGGGGCACAGCTGCTCCTTCCCTTACTGCATGTGCCTGAACACTCCATTTCATTTTGGGAGCACCTGTGGAAAAATATTTGAGCTCCAAGGAAAAAAAAGAATAATATATCACAGCTGCTTTGTTTTCAACTAGAAAAATCCTTCATGTGTTCAGCAGGCCTGGTTGCTGTGGACAAATCCCACAGCACAGGTATGTGATGGTGGAGCACAAAGTATTTCCCCTCCAGCTCTTCGGGGAAGCTGAGGACAGTCACTGTGCCTTTCTGCCAAGCAAATGCTCCAGGGATTTGCAGTATCCCTGAGTGGAGGGAAGTGTTGCCTGTTACTTCAGGGCCAGCACATGGGCTGTGGCCCTCCTTGCACATGTGCTTTGTGTTCACTTAGATTTCAGATCTTCCACTGCCCACAGCTATTGCTGCTGAGGGAAGAGTTTTCCCTCAGCTCCAAGAAGCAGCAGTTACTGCCGGGGAACCTGCATCTGAGATGAGCTAACTTCGAGAAGCTCGAATGATGAACCGAGTCGAGCATCTCGAATGGGCAGAGCTCCTGCTACCGTTCGAGTGGGGAAATACAAAAACATCCCACAGCTGCATTTTCACTGGGATTGAGGTCAAATGAGGAAAAGAAAGCCAATTCTTTGGTTATCCTGTGAGTGGGTGGCATTTTCCCATTTCTAAAGGTGACTACCCTCTTCAATACCTTGGCCTGCAGGATTTCTGCAGGCTCCTCTGAGCTCAGCTGTTTCAAGACCAATTTCTCTCACTTGGCACATGAGGTGTTTCAGTGCTCATGCTGTCATGCTCCCTGCCTTTGTGAATGTGTTTGTCTCATATGCTTAGTTCAGTCTCAGTTTATTTTGGCTAAGCACTGCAGCAGCATTCACACTGTCTGGATTAATGCTGAAGGACCACTGTAATTACCCTTTCCCCTTCTTGCCAGTGGAAGGGTATTGCTGGAAAAAAGTACTGTTTTCCCCCAGTTTCCTCAGCCCAAGCTGTATTTGGAATGTGGGGCTATCAGCTAATCCTTTTTTTGTGTGGCTCTCTTCACCCTTCCATTGCTCAGCACCTTTCTTTCACAGTGGTAAAGGGAAAAATTCAAGGCAGGATTTTTTTTTTCCTTTAGAAAAGAAAAATGTATGACAATATGATGGATACACCAGTGGGAAGAGTATTTAACATGAAAACTTACCCCCTTCAGTGCTCCCACCCAGGTGCAGTTCCAACAGAAACAGACTTCCATTTGCACTGGAGAGGGCAGAGCCAGGAGCCTGTCCAAGTAACTCAGACATATTTGGCTGCATAACCTTCCCACAGGGAACCAGGTTTTCTTGCTGTTTCTTGCCCGTGGAGGGGCTTTGGAGAGGAAGAGCTTCTTTTGCAAGCACTACCTGTTCCAGCCCCAGGTGGTGTGAATACCTTGCAAGAAGCAGCACCTTTAAACCAGTACTTTTAGCTTTAAAAGAAAGATGGAAAAGACACTGAAGTTCATGGGAGCCAGCCCCTGCCTGCACCATGGTGGTGCAGGAGCAGCAGCTGTTCTCAGCAAAGGGTGACCAAAGAGGACTGAGCTGGCTTTCACGGGGAACAAAAGGTCTTTGGAATGAGGCAATGGGCTGGGGAAGTATAAGGATTAATTTAAACATCTCCACTGATTTGATTTAATTCTGCCCCAAATCCCTGAGGAATAATAAGCTTAAATTAAATGTTTACATATGCAAATGTGGCTCATAGAGTGATTTTTATCTAATTCCCTCTTATCTCTCAGTCCCGTGTTGCACGAGGTGAACCAAAGCCAGATTTGGAAGCATTGATGGAGCTGGCACCCATCCTGGGCTGGACTCCTGGGTACAGGGGCTCAGTGTGGAGCTGTGTAGGATGGTGGATGATCCCTTTGTGCTGGAATGGTCCAGCCTGAGCTGCCTGGTCCTTGCCTGTCCACAGACTGGTGCTTGACAGGGATCTGCCACTCTCATGGGTCTCTCCCAGCATCGCTGTGCCATGAGCAGGCAGTGATTGTACCTCGCTCCCCAGGATTCACAGCTAAAGGTAGATGTTCTTCACAAGAGAAGAAACACCTCTGCATCAGCATTTCCATCTGCTTGATGGTGCTGACCTGACAGTATCCAGTACTAAACATTGCACTGGGTGAGTTAGCAATATTAAAAGCAAATATCCCTTATCTTTGGAAAAAAGAGCTCATTGTACATTTATGGATTGGCTTTGCTCTTTGTGTAAGGGGAAAACTTCATGCCACGGGACTGCCTTAGGCTTTGTATTTGCTAAACTCCCTCTTCCTGCTTTGCCTGATTCTGCCAGCAGCTGGATTATGTGTGACTATTTTTTTAGCAGCCTTTTTTGCAGGATTCATTCTTATGCTTTCAAACAAGCACCGAGCTATAGAAATGTCAGCTCCCACAATGATCATAGAGCCTCCGGACCTGCTGGTGATGCTCACCTCTCAATAGATTTTCTGCAAATTTAAATCCTCGGACCAATCCATTCAAGGTAGGCAAGTCTTTCCTAGTTTTAATTAGGGCTAATTTAGTGGACTTGAGCGGTCTGGCAAAATTCCCTCATATGCCATTTCTCGTAGGGACCTCCATCTGCTCACACTTCAATGTGACTTTTAAAGCCCTGGTAGACTGGAGCCTGTCAGAAAGACAGTCACAGTTTCCAAGGGTGGCAGCATATCTGATAGCAGAGAAGTTTTAAGGTGGAAAATGGTAATCACTGGTTTCTGTTTGGTTTGGGGTCAAAGTAAAAACGCAGATGAGGAGTCGACTTACCTGCCTCACAGCAAAGAGCAGCTTCCCATACAAATAAACAGTGATAACAAAAGGGATTACAAGGCAAAAGATGAAAAGACATAAGATGTAGGATGTGTTCCTCACCTGGAGGAAAAGCACTGTGCTTTAATGGCTTTCATTGAGTTGTTGCACATAACATCACACCATCACACACTCCTTCCTCTTCAACTGAACAGGTCAAACTGGTATGAAGGAAGACAGAGTGAAAGCAAGAACTGTCCGGTGCATGAAGGCACAAGGTTCAGATTTTAGAGGTGAGTCCTCCTCTCACTTCACTGTTGAGCCTTGGCACACAGACACTTGTTAGAGCAGCCATCTCTGAGGGGCTGTTGCACCCACCCATGGGGATGCCCTTTTATCACTGGCTAAATATTTGCCACCCATGCATTGCTGTTCTCTGGTTTTATGTTTTGGCACCAGGATGGTTCCCCCTCCCAGCTGCACCTCAGAGTCAGAGCATCACCCCCCCAGCTGAACCCAGCTGGGTCTGGGCATCCACAGCCTGCCCACATGGACACCCCTGACATTTCCATCTGAGAAAAGCATTTTTCTGTGAGTCAGCAGCATGGGAGAGTCAGGGTGGATAGGGAGCCCAGAATTGGGCTTTTTTTTTCTAAATACTGAAAAATGTCCAAAATGGCCCCGATCTCTGCACCAGCACTGCTCAGAGCTCATGAGGCAGTGTGGAGGAGTGTTTCCTGCCCATTTATGCATCTTCCCTTGTGACCTACATCTGCCTTCCACATCTGAGCCCAGAGCGGATGGTCAATCTTCTGCTGTCACCTTTGAGACCGTGATCTCCAGAGACATTAATTAATGGGACAAATCCTGAGGTAGACAGAGCCTGTCAGCTGGCTCACACAGATGGGACTGCAACTGCTGTAGCCAGTGGACAGCAAAATCCACCCAAGTTTCTGTAAAATATGACTGGAGCAACTTCTTAACCATCTTCGTAAAGGCTCCCGTTGATGCTGATGGACAGTGTTACACACCTGCCTGAGGCAGAGAAGTCAAGCAAGCCCACAGCATCCATCACCTTACTTGTAAAGACACCAGATAGCAGCAGGCTGGGTCCCTGTGCCCTGGGCTTGATGTCACGGGGTGCACAACCACTGCTGTGACCCCGTTATTGTCCCCACAGTGCTGCCTGCCTGGGGCACACTCTGCAACCGCACCGGAGGCTGCACAGGCTCCTTGGGGAACATTCTGCTGCCAGAAGGGCAATTTCCAACCATTATGGATTTTACTTCAGAAATTGCTTTCCCGTGACTGAAAATATTAAATTTTAATTGCTATTTTTTGTGAGGGGATGAGGGGGAGGGCATTTTGGGTGGAAAAACTGACGCTGAAGCATTGACCTTCTGGGAAGTGGAACAACAGAGATCACCAGAGATTCCGTCAGCCCGAAAGGTGACAAGGAAGAACTTTTAGTGCACTGGAGTTCATTGATGAATTTCAAGGCTGCTGAACTGTCACAGCAGGCTCCAAGACAGCTGTGTCCTGCACCGACATCTGTGGCTCCCACAGATCGCCTTCTCTGCGTTTACCCTGCAAGATTTCTCTGGACTAAACAAACCCAGCCACCGGCCTCACAGGAAGCAGGTAATGGCTTTTAATTCTCCCCACACCAGTGTGTGGCAATGTGTTCTGCTCAGTGCTCTAGGGTGTGCTGTCTCATGTCTAGCCATGGCTCCAGATTGTGAGCACAGGGGTCAGTCCTCAGCTGAACACAGGAGCCCTGACTTCCTCCTGCTTTCACAGGAGGCTGTTATGCCTCACTGTGTTGCAGCTGCATGTTCCATTCAGGTGGGTTCTTCATTCCTTGCTGCAATTTCACACCAGTGCCTCCTCCCATGCCCCTTCCATGAGTGTGGAGACCCCTGGCACACCCCCTTGGGAAATACCATGGGCTCTGTGCTTATATGGGGGGTGGGATGGAGCTGGTATGCATGGCCCAGTGGGCTCAGCTGCTCCTCAGGGTAGTGGTATGCATGCAGAGAGTGGCTTTTTCACTGCGAGGTGACAGCAGCAGGCTGATAGGGAACAGCTACAGGGCAGCCACTGTAACCACAGTGCAGCCAAGAACCTGTGTGGCTGAAAGCCCAAGAGTGCCAGGACAAGGGCTATATGTTAGCTGCTCCATAAATTCCATCCTAAAAATGACTGCATCCCAGTGGTTTGGCAATGCCATGCCAGTTCTGCCACTAGGGCAGGTGCTATGCTTTCCTCTGTGGTTGCCAGATCTGTCTCCAGTCTTGGACACTAAAACCAAATCATTTACTTCATGCAGTCAGACAGTTTCACTTCGGTTTTCGGGTTAACGTTTACAAGCTGCTGACTTATAAGGCAATGTCTTTGTAAGAGATTCTAGGAACCTGGGTGTTTTTCATGCCAGCCTCTTTGTAAACACTGCCTTTATGAGCTGCAGACAAAACCTGATTCATCTGCCTTGCTGGTAGTGGATGCCCTGAAATACTTCAAGGAGTACCAGAAGATAGTCTAAGTTTGCGGATTTCTGTTTTCTGCTCTAGCAGAATTTGGCTTCCTACCTTTGAAGGTGGAGGTCAGACACATGGTCTCACTTCCCCTTCTTTCTCTTGAGACCTCTTATCTGCTAGGGCTGGTGGTACCCACGCTGAGCTGTTCCTCCCCAGCACCCTGCAGAGAGAGGAGTGGATCTGAGCCTGGGGGCAGCCTGACCCACTGAGCAGTGTGCAGCAGTGTTCCCACTGCCCCTGGGAGTAAAGCCACCTCAGCTACCCCATGGCTGAAGGGTTTGAGTCCTGAGGAGGTTCTCAGACCTGGAAAAACCCAGAGCAAACCTATGAGGTGGCTCCGGTATCAAAACAAGGGTCTCAGAGGGCAAAAGGGGAATGTTGCCCAGCTCTGCTGTGGCCTGCCCTAAAGGCAGTGGCTCTCTGATGACTACAGCAGCAGCAAAGGTAAGGGACAACAAAAATCATCCTTCTGCTTTGCAGAATCTTGGCTGTTACCAGGGCCTGGAGGGAAGGTGAGGCAGGCTTAGCTACCCAATAGCTGCGAGAGGGTTGTCTATGTGTGTTTGTTGTCTGGCAGTGAGTGACAGCGTAGCTTTGATGGCTGAGGGTCTGACGGTGCTGATGAGCCACTGAACCCGACCAGAGCTCAGCCTCATGCCTGCACTCTTCCCTTGCAGAGACGGCCCAGCATGAACAACAGCACTGACGATAACACCGCTGTCGGATGGCATTGCACTCCTTCAGCTGATTGTCTACATCCCAGTGCTCGCTTTGGGGATCCCACTGAACGCAATTGCCTTCTGGGTCTTCTGCTGCAAACTCAAGGGGTGGACTGAGACCAAGGTGTACATGATCAACCTGATCGTCGCGGATAGTTTCCTGCTCTTTACCCTGCCTTTCGTGGCATATCTGACCAAGTACAAGCATCCTGCAGACCGGCTGTGTACTACCATACACAACATCTATTTTACAAATATGCCTATGAGCATCTTTATCATCACCCTGATTGCAATTGATCGATACATTGCAATCAAGTTCCCTCTAAAAGCAAAGGTTTTTCGATCCCCGCTGAAATCAGCTTCTATCTGTGGCTTTCTTTGGATAACGCTCATAATTTATTGTAATGTCCATCCAAAACTTCACAATAGGGGGGAAAAATTCTGCTTTCGGAGGGAATCTCTTGAACCTACTTATACATTTTTACTCTCTAGTATCTTTGGATATTTTATTCCCTTGGGGATTGTGATTTTTTGCTCAGTACAAGTCATCAGATGCCTCAAAAAGAACATGGCCACAAGCCCTCATGAGACAAAGTTAATCCAGAAGGCCGTGCACATCGTTTCTGTGAATTTGTTTGTGTTCATTGTATGTTTCTCACCTTTGTTCATTACAATGCTCGTGCGGTTCGCAGTGGAGGTTACTGGAGCTTCTTCTCTGGTGTCAGCAGTTAACATCTCTTTTAAGGTCTCTGGATGCTTAGCAAATTGTAACTGCTGTTTGGATGCATTTTGCTATTATTTTGCAGCCAAGGAATTTCCAGAATTTTCTTCTATGTTCCCCACCTGTATGAGGTCCAAGACAAATGAAAACCAAGAGTCACAGCCACCCACAGATCAAGTCATGGCATGAACAAAGTGTAGCACGAGAGATGTTAAGTGCCACTGCTGCTGAAGTTTTGAGGCAGAGGGAATGGAACCATGTGCAATCATTGTAGGTATAGGCCTACCTGAAAAACAGAGCAACCCCCACCAGAGGGTCTGATATTAACTTGAATTTTGCCCTTCTGTCCTCGGCGACTTGACTCCAGCTCTGATTATAGTCTTGTATCATTGTACCACAGCTTCAGGCACCTCCTGGTGATTTTGGTTGGCTTCACTGTTGCTCACTTTCAGTGTCTTCTGACTAATAAACCTCTAAAATATTTCCTCCATGGACTGCAAACCCATATTCTGCTCATTTAAACCTAGACACCATTAACTTTCTTAGTGACAACTAACAATTATTTCCCCTACAGAAGACTATCACCTTTTTCTTTCTGCAAACCACAGTCTGAAACCTCTGTCCAGGCATTGTCCAAACAACATAGGAAAGTACTATTCCCATCACAGAAATTATCCCCCCTCCAAACTTAGATCTACCTACTTTGTGTCAATACTTCGGCAGGTGGCCCAACAGGGTGGAAGCTGCAGTGAGCAACTGTGGCATAAAAATGAATGAAACTACTCTTGTCATTCAGCTGATAATTTATGTCACAATTTTCATCTTTGGCATATTATTTAATGCTCTGGCATTACTGGTGTTTCACTGCAAGCAGAGCAAAAGGGCCGTGTGTGTATGTGACAAATTTAATTGTTGCACACTCTTTGGCCCTCATTCTGCCTTTTAAAGTCACTACTCACTCATTACCATTATACATAGGAGTATTATTAATGCCAAACCTGTACTGGAGATTGTGAGAGAAGACTTAGTTACTACAGTATAAGAACTGCCTCACAACAGGTTATTTAACCGTGCAGCCCAAAAATGAGCAAGGAACTTTCTGATTCTCTGAAGAGGTATAAAAATTGGATAAAATTTTTTATCTTGCTTATATGTCAAGTTTCTGACAGGTTTCTGACATCCTCCTTCAGTCCGGACAAAACTTCTGAGTGCTCTAGTAAATGTAACAGATGAGTTATCAGTTCCTGGGCCACAACAAAGAAGTGAGATCACCCAGTACTGCTGCTGATAAAACCAAAAAAATTGTCCAGGTGTGCCCTGAAAACTACCTGATTATCACAACTTTCAGTATGGATGAGGAACCAGAGAAGTAAAAGAATTTAAAGGAATGAAATCTCACAGCGGCAGCAAGGCAAAGTCAGTCAAAATAGGACTGGAGTAGAAACCACCAAACACAGTCCCTTTCCTGAGACTGGGGAAGAAGAGGAAGGCTCTGACCAGTGACAGCACTACTATGCTCAGATCTGAAAAAAGTGCAGCTTCACAACACATCTCAAATATTAAATCTTAGGGAACAAATAGAAAGGCAAAACTAAAGTGGGGAAATATTCCCTTTGGGGCACTCTGTGAACAGCAGTGCTCTCTCTACAGGCACTTGGTGGTGCTCTAGACCCTGCCAGCGAGGAAGTGAGAGCACAGCATGAGTGTCACTTACACTGGGCCACATGGTGACAGCACTTGCAGTGCTGAGACAGCTTGAGAACTGCAGAGACGGAGCAAAATACCAAGGGAGCATCACTGGTCCATGGCAGGGGTGATAAAACCTGTGACTGGATGGAAGGAGGCAGCCTAAGAGTGTGGCTGATGGGGAGATGAAGTGAAGAGAAGCATGGGGAACCTGATGTGTCCAGCAATCAGAGACTCGAGAGCCTCACCACAAGAGATGTAAGTTCTCCACAGGTAACACTTTTTCCTAGTTTTGACCTCTGGTAGCTGGTGTTGAATTTGTTTTGACATATCCTGGTGAACCTGCTGATCACAGGCAGCTGTTTCATGACTGGGGCACAGCTTGTCCATCTGTTGCAACCTCACTGGGCTGAAGGGAGACCCTTGTCCGGTGACCACAGCACAAAGGTGTGGATGGGAAGCATTGCACTGAACAGCTTCTTTAGGTTTGATTATAACTGCTCATGGTTTATACTGCCAGTGATTGCCTTGACAGAGACAACACTTCACAGAACCACAGAATATTCTGAGTTGGAAAGGACCCACACAGGATCATTGAGTACAACTCTTAAGTGGATGGCCCATATGGGGATCTTGAGGATGATGCAAAGTTTTCTGTACAGTGGTGAAACTATCACAACCCAGAAGCTGGATGACTTTGGAAACTAGAGTACTATCGAGGACCATGACATAAATGATGACCTGGGATCAAGGAGCTCAGTGTACTAATACATGTCAGTAACTACTTATAAGCATTCACCAAGAAGCAGCCACAAGAAAGTCAACAGAAGTCCCTGGAAGCTCAGAAGTACACTGTACTTGTGAGAAGAACTGGGAAGAACTCTGTACACTGGCAAGGAATCATTCTTACAGGTTGGCTTGTGATGCAGAGACAGACAACGCAGAAATACTCCTGAAGCTCCTCTAAGATGACCTGGAGATTGGGAAGGGGAAATATGTTTGCCTAAAACAGAAATTCAAGGAACTAATATCAAGACCTCTAAGCTTATTATTACAGCCCTGATGTGTTCTGGTGAATGCAATGGGCCACCAAAGAGCAGTCCCTGGCCAGCAGGCACCTGCAGCCTCAGGGCAGCCACAAAGTCAGCAGGTCAAAGGGTCATGGTGTCATGTTTACTCAGAAAACTGCTGGCTGATGAGAACTATAGAAGAGTATTACTGTGATTCAGAGTGAAAGCCCTTTATAATAATTAAAAACCTACCTGAGAACCACAGCTCCCACCTCTTGACAGCTTTGGGACTGGAACTGTAGCAGTTGCTCTGTCCTGGAGCTCAGCAGTGGGACAGCAGGTGCCACTCCCTGCTCCAGTCCCAGCAGGAGCATCAGTCTGGAAGGCAGAGAGGAGACCTCAGGACCTGCCAGGGCAGTTGGCCCCTCCAAGAAATATGCACAGTCTGTTGGGTGAGGAAGGTCAGGGGGCTTTGCCCAGTGAAACATCAGCCAATGGAAAGTAAAACAAAGGAAAAACCCAAAGCCATTCTATCACCGTCGGAACTTCGGCAGGGGTGTACGGCAGACAACATTCCACCTCAGAGCAGGGCTACTGCTGGCTCCTCAGTCAACAAGAGGTGGGACAAGACACAGAAATGGTGAGAGGAAGAAAAGCACCAGGGAACTGTGTTCAGGACGAGCGGGGGTGCTTCCTCGGCCAGCATTGCTGCTGTCCGTGTGTGAGAAGCACTGCTCCCCGTGACTGCATGGAGCATCACAGCTGGTCTGGAGGAACACTCTCTCCAAGGGCACCAAACTAGCAGGTAATTTTTCCTGGCTATTTACTGACATGGTAACCTGAGGTCTGCAAGGCACTGCCTTTCCCCAGCCATGGTTGAGGCACCAAAACGGTGATGGAGAAACAGAGAGGGCCGGAGGCAATGTAAGTACTTTCAAAGGTTTATTTTGATACTGGCCACATTCAATGTGTTTTGGATGCTCAAGGGCTGTCTCAGTCTTTGGTAGATCTCCCTGTTTTGTGTTATGATCTACCCTTATATGAATTATATAACACACTTCTCATGTCCAGAGGACAAAGGTACTGCAGGTCTCTGCTGTACCATGTTCCCTCACCTCTGAATAGGTGTCCTGGCAGGAGTCCTCTGATGTGCGGTTTCAAAGCTAACCAACAGCTCTATGTGCACATGGATGCTGCAGCACTGCCCCATGCTTTACTGGGTGGTGATGCTTTTGAGCCCCACAAATGCAATTTTTCTTGCAGAGAAAATCCGAAGATATGTCAGACACCCTGGGCCTTTTCTCTCCATGAACAGCTGCACCAGGAATATGGTCCTGCATTAATTCCTCCAAAGCAGGAGGGCAAACAGCAATATTGCCCTTATATCTGAGGTGATAAAACCACCCACAGGATAAAACACAGCTCACCTCTCACATAGCTGCTGATCATGTTTCTTGCCACGACATCGGTGGGGGTTTTTGTCTTGGAATTGTGGCAGATTGCTGTTATCCTTCTGAGATGAAGAAAAACTTTGATGATCCTCGAAAGGCAGCAAGGAGAACCTAATACTCTGATTCTTGCTGCAGATCACTAAATGCTGTCTCTAAGTAAAGGATTCAATGGCAGCTAAAAATTAATGAGATGTAGTAATAATTGCTCTTACCACTAATGAGAAGTCATGCAGAGACAGCTCAGGACTGAAGGAGAGGACAGGTGTCCTTTTGCCGCACGTCTCCTGGAACATTTTGAGCGGTGGGGATGCTGGCTGGCTTCAACTGAGGACTGCTATAATGGAAGGGATGAGAGCTGAGTTTATGTTGCCCCTTTCCATTATCAGATGTTTGTGTCAGCTCACATAACTCCTAGCTGCAGGATATCTGCTGCTGCCTGATCCAAGTCTGACCGAAAAAAGAGGCTCAAGCACTTTCCCCTGCCTCTCTACAGAAGCAGTCTTCCCAGATGGTACCCAAAGAGAACCTGTGTTTTTCTCTCCTCCACAACTGATCAGGATGGTGTTCTTCTCCCCCTTCTCCCTGCTAGGTACCCTACAGCCAGCTTTGCACAGTCATCTCTATGGCTGCGTTTTTGTGGTTGGTAAAGCCCTGAAATCTTTGAATTTGAATTAATCACCGATTCATTCTAGAGCCTCACTCTAAAAATTTAAGCTGCTTCTGCAGGAACTGTGCCTTTTACCACCCTCAAAATGAACTTCAGCAGCTGCAATATCACAGTCGATGACAGTTTTCCACTTGTCCAGTCGTGTGTTTACGTCCCAGTTTTGGGTTTTGGCATTTTGCTGAATGTGTTGGCACTGTGGGTGTTATGCTGCAAAGTTGGCAAATGGACAAAAAACAGAGTATACCTGGTCAACTTGTCTGTTACTGACTGCTTGCAGCTCTTCACCTTGCCTTTTAAAACATTATTGCAGTTCCAGCATCTGCAGGCAGATGAATGGTCGCTGTGAGCTTTATGAGCATGGGGATCATCACCATCGTAGCAGCAGATCGGTACCTTGCAGTGAAGTACACTTTGACAGCTGGGGCACTGAGGTCACCACTGAGGAGGGCTTTTGCCTCAGGATTTCGTTGGATATTCATCACCTGTGAGATGTCCCTCATTAAAAATTTAGAGGATCGAGGACAAGTCCTTTGCTTTGGAAAATCTGCTAGGACGCCCTCGGTGGTCTCACTGGGTGTCTTTATTGCAGAATTTTTCATACCACTGCTCATCTTGAGTTATTGGTCCATACAAGTCATCACAGAACTCAGAAGAAAGAAGAATGAAAACTCTCAAATGGAAAAGTTAGTCAGGAAGGCTGTCTGCAAACATGGCTGTGTTCACCATATGCTTTTTAACTCTTCACCTCAGACATCTCCTTCGTTTTATAATGGACTCCATCAGCTCCAGCTGCTCTGCAATACAGAGCATTAACAACTCTGTTCATTTTGCCTCAGTCATTGCAAACACAAACTACTTCCTGGATGCTATTTGTTACTGCTTTGTCAGCAAGGAATTTAAGGAAGCAACTTCCAAGCTAGCAAAGTCCAAATCTGAAGGCAGTAAAGAAGGAGCCAAAATTCAGCTCTCACAGATCAAAGATTAGTGCAAAACAAATCCAGCACATCTTTTATACTTGCTGTTTTCAAATTCAACTGGGACTCGATAGCAGTCCCAGTTGAATTGCACTTCCTTTTTGTGAGAGTGGGATAGAGGGACATTTTGCTAATGGAAACATTCAGATACATGAAAATGAGCTCTGGTTCAGACAATCACAGCAGTCCAGATCCTGATGTAATGATCTTGATTGCCTTTCTCTGACTTATGCAAATTTGAGTAAAATAATAGCTTTTCCCTGCAAAAATCCCCTGTCTTTCATTTTACAGGAAATTCAAAACAAATCCAGGCAGTGGTAAAGGTTTGGGGTTTGTTCTTATTCCCACGTTGGATTGGTTTTTGTGCAGCTGTGACAAAGAAACAGAGGCTATTCCAAATATGAAAAAAATTTAAAAAATTAGGGTGAGTCCACTGCAGAAAAAGAAGTGAGGGTGTTTCTATAAGTGACAAACTTTTGGGGTTTTAGTTGTTAATAATGCACAATCCTAGTAGCAGAGGGAGTTTTACCTGCTTTAGACAACCTTACAGCAATGCAACAGCTACAAAACGGTCACCATTGCAATATAAGGTCAGAAGAAATTGCAATTGCTTATAGTGGGGCAAAACTTTACAACACATATGTGTGAGACAGATGGCATTAAAACTACTATCCAAACAGTGTGTGTAGGGCACTGGGAATAAGGACTCTGTATCAGGACCCTATTCAACCTTTTAATGTAAAGGACTGTCTAAAGAAAGTGGCAGCAGCTGCTATAAAGAAATTGACCTAAATAAAGTAGTGTCGTTAGCACAGAATTCAGTTTCTTAAGGAGTTAAACGGAAAAGGATGGAGATTGGGTGATACAGGACCTGCTCTGCTCTCTGCCCCTCGAGGGATAACTCATCTTCGTGCTGTCTAGGCAAGGAGCAGCACATGTGAGCTGCAACCGAGACTCAGATTTTCCAAGGCAGAGCGGAGTATGGCACCACAAACAGCTAAGAAAGTGGAATCACCAACAGGCCTCAGACCACAGTGCCCCAGGATGGGATGTACCAGGCACACACCTCCACTCATACCTCCCAGCCCAGGCTGGGCTTCCATCTGCCTGTACCTGCTGTGCCAAACCCTACTGCCACCAAAGAAGCCTTACAGCCCCCACACCCAGCTGGGCTTTTGCATCTCCTCCTACTCAAGGCACACACCAGAAGGAGGAACCATCTCAAGGGGAGCCTCTGCTGCACACAGTGGTTGCTCAGAGCTTTCCATCCACCTGGGCAGTGGCTGTGCTGTGCTGCCCAGCAACGCCCCTGCCACCTAAACAGGACAAGAGCAAAAGCCTGTCAGCTTCCCAAGGGAATACAGACTTCTTACCGCGTCTGCCAGAGATTCAGATAGAAATTTACAGATACATCTCTAATCACCAAAATCTGAAACAAAATATCTCCTTTGCTCACTACACAACGGGGAAGGAGAAGAGGAGAGGCTTTGGCTGAAAAAGAAGACCCTTTATGGAGGTTGGTTTCTCCCCTTTTCTACACTTTCATTTTCTGTGAAAAGATCAAAGTAGCAACAAAGGGCACTGTGTTTGCAGAGATGGGTTATCTCCTCCTGGCTCAGCCCAAGGTGCAGCAGGGCCCTGGCAGGGACTTGGCACTGCCTAGCCAAGCACACACCTTGCCTTCCCCAGCCCCGTATGCTCATAGGTCTCCTGAGTCTGTGTAGTAACACAGGCACCTTTGTGACCTTAATTTGATGAACTGTTCCCCAGTAGGGCTAAACACACCTTCAAGATCCCCTCCCCAGTACAGGATTTGTTTGGTGAGAGCACAGCCATTTGAGAGGTTACCTCCTTGCCAGTGTGTTTTTTCTGTGCCTCCAGTCTGGCCAGCATGGGGGTGAGCTCTTCAGAGGTAAAAGCTCTGCACAAACCAAACTGCTATTTTAGATGAGCAGGGAAAAAAAAACACTTCTAACTCCAGTAACCGCTAATTAAAAGGGTGGAGGAGATACAAAGCAGACTACAAACAAAGCCAACTTCAAACAAAGCATTTTTGAGCACATGCTGTTAACCCACCTAACGTCTAGTAACCCTCTTCCTCCAGCAGCCATTTGCCTTGCAATACGTACCATGAACGCCTGCCCTGAGACAGACAAATTACCTCACCACAGAAACCTCAGATCAGAGCCTCTGTACACCTGTGAGTCCTCCAGTGCTCACTGAGGTTTAGAGCTGGGGGAATCTTGGGGTGGCTGTGCAGGAGACAGTGAGGTTGTGCCAGTGCAAGGTGGTGCTGGGCAGAGAGTGCAGGGAGGGTCCTCACTGCCACCACCAGCCTTTGCATCAGCCCTGAGCCAGGGCCACCACCACTGCTCCTGCTGACTGTCCAGGAGCAGCTCGTTACCAAGGGCAAAGAGGCAGAACAGCATGTTTTACTCTCAGAAAAGGGGTGTGATATCCTTTGAACTGAAACTCCTTCACCATTCAGTCAGGGCAGTCAAGGATTCACATGTGCTGGGGCTGAAATATGCGGCACAAGGACCAAGAAACACCCTCTGGCTCCCCAGCTTGAAAACTGGTTTATGCTGCTCCTTTTCTTCAGTGTTTTTTGCCTCTCTTTGGAGCTTTTGGGGTGATTTAGTAGAAGGAGTGCTCCCTAAATTCATAACTCAGCTGGCCAAATTCTCCCACATCATACAGACAAATGCTAAGGGATGAATTAAGCAGTGAGGAGACAGCAGTGGTCTGCAGAACTAGACATTTCTGGTGGACTCAGTAACTTCTGGGAGACAAGGGGGATCCAAGAACTTGCCTAGAAGATACTGATTCTACCAGCATTGCCTGGAAGGCAGACAACCCTCACCCCATGCACAGACAAACCATAACTATCCAAGAGGTGCAGGCCTTGCCTGGCTTGCTTTTACCTTGCTGTGAAAACCCATCTCACCACATCCACCAAGCTTTTGAATATGTGCAACTTAACCTTCACACTCTCTCTTTTGGGCTTCCCTATTTCTCTGGAGCCAATTCTGGAAAACATTAACCTCATGCTTTCCAGGTGTTGAGGGTACAGGTGCAAAAAGGGCTGGAACCTGCACCTCCCAGACCTCCCAGGCATCTCCCAACATGCACAACAGGCACCCTGCTCTCATCAGGCCACACTGCCCTCCCAGCAGCTGCAGAACACAGGCAGCACAGATATCTTGCACTCGCCTGTCCTACATTATATTAATTCTATGATTCTGTGAATTGATGGCAGAGCTGGATACACCTGTAAAAAACACTGAATGCACCTGTTACAAAAACAGACCAATTGGAAGCATGAGTGGAGCTGCTGCAGCACTGGAGGTGGCTGAACAATAGGACATGCACACACAGAGTGCAGGTAGACATGCAAACCTTCCTCTGACTTTCATGTACTTGCTCACAGAAGTCTGGTAACATCTCACACCAGATTTCATGCTTGGGGCTTTCCATTTGCTGGTGCTGTTACATTTTGAATGAACAGTGCTGTCAAGAACTGAACCAGGGCAAGTGACCGAAAAATGAGAGTTCAGCTGAATGTCAAAAGTGGGGGGGAAAGTGAGAAAGCTGTGCAAAAAAACTGTGACACACTTCAAAAATATTTTTGTTGAAGAGAGAAAAAGAGGACACTTCTAGGGAAGTGAAAATTGGGGTGGCTCATTGTTGTTAGATCCAGATAGAAACAATATCTCTCAGTTTCTGAATGAAGACTCAGAAATATCACCAAGTTGCTCTAAGGGGATGATGAGATGTCCCTTGTGGGCAGTACATGCACCAGCCAGAAACAATCTGACACCATGCACTCCTCATTCCATAACATGCTAAAAGGCTGCAGCCTAAAAACAAACAAGCAAACAAACAAAACCTTAATAAAAAACACATTTCTGCAAGAAGCACTTATCTTATTTGACTCTTATCTGTCTCTTTGGCCTTTTCGCACACTCTTTTTTTATTTTTTAAGAATAACCATTCCTAACCTAAGGCCAAGATGAAATGTTCAGAATATATTTATTACAGAAAGGACCACCAAATTCATAGACCTTTCCACAAGGCCTGGCTGCCCTGGGTGTTTACCCATTCTGGTTGTCAAGGGCATATTGGAGCTGTGAGCATGCTCAAAGCCTGAATCATCACGAGGAATTTGGGCCAGGGCAGAAGCTGAAACCACAACAACATGAGGACAATTTTTTTTTTTTTGCCTAGTTATTGTTCAGTATTGAACTGTGCAAGCCCTTTCCTTCCTGTAGCACCTTTTGCTGCCCAGATACCAGGTGCTCCACTGATGCTGCAGGTTGTGGCACCCCTGTGAGACCTGGCAAACAGCAATATTTTGGCATGCAAGGTAAAAACATATCCTTTCTCTCTTCTCAGCAGGGTGAATTCACAGATAAGAGCTGAGGGTGCAGAATTCTTCCTCAGGTCTGTCATTAAATATGTTTCTAAGCCATGCTGATGTAAGTAGTAGGGAGCCTTGGTTTCATGGAGATACACTGGTTCTCTCTATAGCAGCATTTACTGCTGATTCTGGAGCAACTTCACCCACTTTGTCAGTGAGAGCAATATTTAGTTCTACCTACATACATCTACATACACTTAGTTCCTGATGCACTAGGCTTGTAAAACTAGAGAAATCAGGAATTTCCCTTGAGTAATATTTCTGAGCAGAGAGCATGGGCAGACTCCCTGCTGTCCCAGGCTCTGCTGCTGCAGTGCTGTTTATCTACAGCATCTGAGCCCAGAGACCACTGGGTTTGCAGGGCCCTGGAACTACACTGCAGAGCTGGAAGACCATCCTTGCTGTGTCAGACTAGAAACCAACCAGATACTTTCCCAGGTTACTGCAGCCTGTAGTTTATGAACCTTGTAAACCAGAGATTGTTTCTTTATGTAAAATGACCCATAAGGGACATTTCTGCCTTCCATAAGCACACAGAAACACGTAAAATTAACCACACTATCCACATTCAGCTTCTGCAGCATAGTCCCTGTACCTGGCAGAGGCTGGTGCAGCATCAAACCAGGCACAGCAAAAGGAGCCAACTGCATCCAGCCCCCACCAGGGAAATCCTGAGCTGGATGCTGTTCTGACTGGAAAATATCTGCACACACCTAGAGCTGCCAAAGCTAAAGATTGCCCTTCAGAAGGCCCAAGTTGTGCTGTTACACTGTGGAGTTGCACAGAAAGTGTCAAATCACTAGAGGGAAGCCTCACCTCTGTCTGCAACAAACTCCAGCAGTCCTGGGAGAGGAAGGACAGAAAGTGGCCTTAGAAAGTAGGAAAAGGTGTTTGGGGCAGATTTCCCCCGGCCTGTTTCCCCTGGGAACTTGCACCCTTGCTTGGAAGTTTGCAAAGACATTTAAAAGAAGTCATGCAGCAGTATGTCTAACACATCTGGAAGAGAAAAATAGCATGAAAACTTACTCCCTAAATGCTTTTCCTCATCCTCTCTAGCCAGTTTCTTCCCTCCCACAGTTATTTGTGTGGGTAGCCTGGGAGACCTCACCTCAAAGCCAAGCAAAAGGAATTTGGGGGAAAAAGGAAACTGGAGTTTGGATTAAATGAAAGGGAGAGGGAAAGGAAACATGGGTGTCAAGCAAACTGTGCATCAGTGTCAGTTTTGATAATTTTGAAATACCTTTGTGCTCATGCTCTCATTCTTCTCAGTTCCATGGGAGACAGGATGAGAAGCAGGGACTAACTTTAAGCAAGAAATGTAATTTTTCAGTGGAATTCCCATTCTGCTTCAGAGATCTAAAGTAAAAAGAATAATTTTCACAGACCTTTTTCAAAGCCTGGTGATAAGCCAATAACCCAGAGAGGACTGCTTCAGTGCAGCTTATTCTTGCTTCCAAATGACATATGGCAAAGAAGAATCTGAAGAAAACGACATTAATTCTTTTCACATCCTTTTTTTCTTCCCCCGCTTTTTTGTCACTCTCTGTTCCTGGGTTTCTTTTTATGGAGTGCAGTGATGTATGGGGGAACTCCAGAACCCAGTCAGCTATAGCCACTGCTGAGATCAGGGAACAAACCTGTGCCAAACTGGGCATGGCACAAAGCAATCTAGTGACTCTGCCACCTGGTAAAAGGCCACTGTCCACTTACAGAAAAGAAGGACTCACACCAAGAAGAGTCTTTGTGC